TTTGCCACAATCAGTCACCACACTTCTCTTCGTCAATTAAACATAACAACTCATAAAACATAAATAGCAATAACTTCATTTTAATGAATTCAGGCAATAAGTAGAATAAATGGTTAAACTACACTTGTCTTCACTAATTCTATGCCTTAAAGCCTTAATTTAAGGTTTCATAAAAATCTCAAACCCTAGCATAAACCCGAAAGTATGGTAGGTTTCCTTCCTTACCTTTTTAAAGACTTCCTCCAACAAATCCTTTGCCTTTGACTTCTTTTACACCTTAATCCTACATATATAACATTATACCTCAACATCTACTTCAAATCTTCAAATCACATCAAAACTAAAGTTTTTAATCCTTACCTTAAACCCTTCAAATTGAAGATCCAAGGCTCCTATCTTGTTCTCCTTGAAAAATTATGCAAAACTCCTTTAAAACTTAGAGAAAGAAAGCTTGTTTCATGGAAGATTTAAGAGAAAATGGAGGAAATGTTGAAGAAATGCTCTCTCCCTTGGCTTGAACGAATTTCATCTCATTTATAGGAAAATATTTCATTTATTTTCCAAAATTATGCTATTGGCCCAATTATTTTAGTTGTATAACTCATAAGTCCTTAATTCTTCATATAAGGGCATTTTGGTCATTTCAAACTAGACATAATTATTACTTAATTAATGCCATCAAATGCAATTGAGCCTACTCATCCTTGACTTTTTCAATGCTTATCCATAGGCAAAATGACTATTTTGCCCTTAATACCTTTCTATGAATAATTGATTAATACCGTTCCAAATGAATTGACTATTTTGCCCTTAGTTTGATTTTATGCTTTTTAACATAAAATTAACATCTAAAGGACTATTTTGAGTTAGGAACATACCTTTGACATTTTGGGTATTACAAATTGATTGGCTATAGGGCACCTACTCCAACACCAAATGCTGAGGTCTAGTCAACTAAAACTGTTAGCCGGGTATGGTCCATTGTTTTTGTTAGGAGAAAAGGAATCCTTTTACTATTTATTTCATTAATTAAAAAATGCAATATACAGCCATAATATATTTACTTTATCACAATTACATAATTACACTTAACCTATATTTACATTATTTCTAACACTCCCCCTTATGCTGGAGCATATATATCTATCATGCCTAACTTGTTACAAATGTAAGTTACCTTTTTCCAACTAGAGATTAGTAAAGATATCAACTAGTTGTTTCCTTGTTCTAACAGGATTAGTAGCAATTAAATATTTTTCAAGCCTTTCCCATACAAAATGACAATCCACCTCTATGTGCTTTATTCGCTCATGAAAAATTGGATTATTTGCTATATGTATTTGTTGCATGATTGTCACACCACAAAATCCATAGTCTTTGGATCACCAACTCCAATTTCTCCAAGAAGATGTCTTATCCATATAAGCTCACATGTCACTTGTGCCATAGCTCGATACTGAGATTCTACACCTGATCTAGCTACAATAAACTATTTCTTACTTTTCCATGAAACAAGATTTCCTCCAACAAAGACATAAAATCTAGTCACAGAACGTCTTTCTACAAATGATCTTGCCCAATCTTCATATGAAAATCCTTCTACTTTACTATGACCATAATTACTGTAAAGGATTCCATGTCCAGGAGCTCCCTTGAGATATTGCAAGATATGAAGAACTGCATCCCAATGAGGTGTCATGGGGGATGACATAAATTGACTCACCACACTTACTGAGAATGCAATATCTGGACGGGTTACCGTAAGTTCCAACAATCCATCTATATTGCTCTGCATCACCAAACACCACTCCATCCTTAGCATTCAACTTCACATTAGGAAACATAGGAGTATCACAAGGTTTAGCTCCAGTTATTCTTGTTTCAGTCAACAAATCTAACACATACTTTCGTTGAGACAAAACAATTCCTCTTATACTCCTAGAAACTTCAACTCCTAGAAAGTATTTTAAAGAGCCCAAATCTTTCGTGTTAAATTTAGAAGCCAAAAAATCTTTCAAACTATGAATGTCACCACAATCACTACCCGTGATCACAATGTCATCAACATAAACAACAAGAAGAAGAATGCCAGAACTAGACTGCTTATAAAAGGCAGAATGATCATAAGCGCTTCTACGTAAACCAAACTTAGACACCACACTACTAAACTTCCCAAACCAGGCACGCGGAGATTGTTTCAACCCATATAAAGATTTTCTGAGTTTACATACCTTTCCAGACTCTGATAGTCCTATTTTTCATAGTGATTTTGTATTGAATTTCAATAGGATTTAGGATACTTCTCATACAATTTGGGCCATAATTGCTACTTAATTCTATTAATTTTCCTTTGTAGGCCTAAACGATAATTTTTAGCATAAATGACGGTTTTGAGCATAAATTGCGTAACTTGAGCTTGGAAACTCCGAATGACGATTATTGAAGATTTGGGCTTCAAATTAGAGAAGATTTTTCCATCTTTTGCTTATTTTTCAAAGGTGAACCTTGATTCAACTTGTTTTTGTTATTTTATTTTGTTTCTGAGTATGAACTGAATTGTTTAGCTAGGGTTTGATGTAACCTTGATACATGGTTCAAATTTATATGAATTGATTTACATTGAGTTTTAATTTCATGATTGAGTTTTTATCTCTTTGCTAAATGACTTTTGGATGCTTGATCACCATTCAAATGTTCGTTGCTCACAATGAGACTGAGAAGTGATTTGTGATATGTGCCTCTTGGGATAAATACCACAGATTGAGTGAAAACTAGAGATAGATAAACACGATCTTTGACATCTAAGATAGAATTCCACAAAGCTTAAGAGAGCTTGAACTATTAAACTTCAATTTTTGGGTTCGAAAGGTTAATAGGAATACGTGGGGTGGTATAACCTAAGAAGGAGTACCAAACAACTTAGGGAATTCGATTTTCAATCAGGGAATTAGAACTTTGGTAATGGATTCTATGAATTCGGTATGCATATCTAGGTGAAATAAACACCCTAGCATTTTTTAGTACTATTTGATTTGTTTGGATTTTGGGTTTTGTATTTATTTTAATTTTTATCATTTATTAGTTGTTAATTTATATTTAGTTGTTAAATTTCCATCAATCCAATTTATTGTTGCTTCAATTCGAACTTAAACTAGAGAAATCAGTACTTAGTAACACTATCATCGTGGGAAAGATACTTTATTATCACTTTATTAAATTTTGTGACTAGTGCACTTGCTAAATGTGCATTTGAAAAAATTAGCATCAAGTTGTTGGTGCCGTTGCCGAGGATAGATGATTATTAATATTGATAGTATCTAGTGTAGTGCTAAATTGAAGCTTTTATTTCATTTTTGTAGTTAATCATAAATATTGTAAAGTCTTACGCTTGAGTTCTTTTGTTTGTAGTTTTTATTTTTATTTTGTAGTTAAGCTTAAATTTTGTGAATACTTAAGTTTGAACTTTTTCTTGTAGTGCATGTGGAGATCATGGCAGAAGTGCATAGAACGTTGAGGGATTGTGTCATGCAATTATGGTATTACAAGGCCACCTGGTGTGCTGTCGTAGGCAACCAAGATTAAAAACCTTCCTAGCCTAACTACTGAACTGTAAATAGGGTAAGCAAGGGTCGATCCCACGAAGAGTGTCTAGCTGAATTTTCGATTATGTGAATAAGGCTGGGGGGTTTTGAGAAAAACAGAAAACAATCTTAGCAAAAACAAAAACAAAAACAATTCAAATCGAAATCAATTAATAGAACGAAACTGGGTCTCAGTCAACATCCACCATCGGAATCTTACAACTGATCATTGATGCAAAATTAAATCAATTCATACCTGAATATTCACCGTTGGAACTATTTTCCTATCTCTCCTTACTTGTAATTGATTAAGAAACAAGCGATCTTAATTAATCTTACCACTAAACAACCCTAGACAAGCGCTCAAGATTTAATCTAGTGGCAGCCTTAAGAATTAGAGAAATCGATGAAGCTAAACAACACAAACTCAAGCGGTTGTATTTAATTTAGTTGAGTGTTCTTCTTAAGATTACTAATTCCTGACGCANATCATTTTATTACTTGAGCGACTAGTGCACTTGCTCGTTTTGCATGTTGTAAGAAACACGCATCAGGTATGCATATCTAGGTGAAATCAACACCCTAGCATTTTTTAGTACTATTTGATTTGTTTGGATTTTGGGTTTTGTATTTAATTTAATTTTTATCATTTATTAGTTGTTAATTTGTATTTAGTTGTTAAATTTCCATCAATCCAATTTATTGTTGCTTCAATTAGGACTTAAACTGGAGAAATCAGTACTTAGTAACACTATCCTCGTGGGAAAGATACTTTATTAAATTTTGTGACTAGTGCACTTGCTAAATGTGCATTTGAAAAAATCAGCATCAAGTTTTTGGTGCCATTGCCGAGGATAGTTGATTATTAATATTGATAGTCTCTAGTGTAGTGCTAAATTGAAGCTTTTATTTCATTTTTGTAGTTAATCGTAAATATTGTAAAGTGTTACGCTTGAGTTCTTCTGTTTGTAGTTTTTTTTTTTTTTTTTTTTTTTTAGTTAAGCTTAAATTTTGTGAATACTTAAGTTTGAACTTTTTCTTGTAGTGCATGTGGAGATCATGGCAGAAGTGCATAGAACGTTGAGGGATTGTGTCATGCAATTATGGTATTACAAGGTCACTTGTTGCAATGAACTTTGAGATTAAGCCGACAATAATTCAGATGACCCAACAGTCAGTCCAATTTGGTGGAAATTCATATGAGGATCCAATTTTTCATATTGCTAGTTTTCTAGAGATATGTGACATGTTCAAGCACAATGGATTGACTGACAATGCAATTAGGCTAAGACTGTTTCCATTTTCATTGTGAGATAAGGCGAAAGGTTGGCTCATGTCACACCCAGCTGGAATAATCACCACATGAGATGGATTAGCTAAGAAGTTTCTAGCAAAATACTTTCCCCCGAGAAGATGGCAAAAATGAGAAAGGACATTACCTCTTTCGTACAAGACAATGATGAATCACTGTATGAAGCTTAGAAGGGGTATATAAAGTTGTTAAGAAAATGTCCACATCATGGTCTATCAGTTTGAATACAAGTCCAACAACCAAATATTCAAATTATGGTCGATGTGGTGGTAGAGGAGCATTAAATTAGAAGACTCCAGAAGATGCTTATGCACTGCTTAAGGTAATGGCCAATAATAACTACCAAAGACCCAATGAGTGAGCAATGCCTAAGAGGAGCATGGGTCTACATGAAGTTGATGCGTCTATCACATTATCTGCACAAATTACATCACTTCAAGAACAATTAAGAGGTATGAATGTAAATTCTATTCACTCACCTAATCTAACTTGTGAATTTTGTGTAGGAAACCATGTGAGTGTGGAATGCCAAATGGAAAACCTGTTCGTCTTCTCAATAATTGAGCAAGTGAATTACATGGCTACTTCACAAAAGCTGTAGAATGACCCCTTTTCCAACATATACAATCTGGGATGGAGAAACCATCCAAATTTCTCTTGGAGCAATCAAGGAGCACCAAGACCAGTAGCCAATTACCAATCGATAGAAGAGAGAATAACCAAGCTAGAAGATATGTTTGAAAGGTTCATGAATGAGACAAGGACAAATTTCAAAAATCAAAGAGCGTCCATTTGAAATTTGGAGGTTCAAATGGGGCAATTGGTGGAACAATTGAAGGGGAGACCTCAAGGTTCCTTGCCAAACAAAACAGAAGTTAATCCTAGAAAGCAGGTTCATGCCATAACATTGAGGAGTGGTGTAGTTTTGGAGGAACCTAGACAAAGAGAAGAGTTGAAAGATCATGAACTGGCAAATCTTAAAGCATAAAGGAGTGCAAGTTGCTTAGGGGAATTTCAACCAAGCAACTCGCCTCACAAGGAACAATTTAAGGACTTTGGTGCAAGTGGGCACAAGTAAAAATTGGTGTTGGAAGAGACTCTAAACATTGGACTCAAGCACTCACCATCTCATCTCAAGTACGCATATAAGAATTTGAATTTCTGAAAAGATGCTTATGAGAATGCTCGTAATTCCAAAGGAAATACCAAGAGGTGGCAATAGGAAGTGAAGCATCCCACAAGGATTTGAATTGATGAAGGACCATGGGAAAGTCAAGCCTTCAAATTTGACTAAATCGCTTCTTGGGAGGCAACCAAAGTGTTTTAGTTTATTTGGTGTTTTTAGTAGTTTTTTAATTTCAAAACTTTGGTTTTAGTTTGATGAGGATTGATATTTCCTTATTATTCTGTAATGTTTTCTAACAAATTGGTGCACCATGAGTTTTTATGCCTTGACAGATTCGTATGATGATGAAGACTATGAATAGATGTCGAGCATTGACGTAGAGGACACACTTTATGGATTAATTAGGGGAGTATTTCTTAACCCTTCTCTTTTCTCTATTCCGTGAGTTTTGGGGTAGGAAAAAATTTGATTTTTTTTTGTTTGTTTGTTTGTTTGTTTGATTTGGTGTGTTTATTTTTTATTTTCTTGTGTGAGTGATTTGGTTTGAAGTATTGTTGTTTAAGTGTGTGGTTTGTTGTGTGTTTTGGTGTGGTTATTTTACTCATGTCTGTGTGTTTGATGCTTTTTGGTTGTGTTTGTTTTTAGTTTTTGTGCATTGTTGAAACTGTTAGAGTAGGTGCCATAGAGCCAATCAATTATTGTAAAATTGACTCTGTAATAAATGTTTATTTATCAATAAAAGGCATATTCTACTATATCACGTAAATCATATTATATGTATTGATATATGTCCTTAGGATGGTAGAACCATGACAAGAGTATCAAGTGTTTCAAATCTTGATAGTGAGAACCCTATGATCACATATGGTGGCCATTCTAGAAATGTCTGTAGCCCTAGTATTACTCTGACTAATGACACATATAATATGGTAAGGCTATCATAGTGTTGAACGACCCTGTCGAAAGGTAGTGACTGATCTCACTTGTCAAGGTTGTTTGCCGACAACCTGGTGCAGCGCATGAGTGTTTGCTAGAGGCAAGTTCACTGGGCAGACCCACTGGAGGATTCCATATGGATGGTAACCCCAATGTCTATGGAATAAATCCTCTAACAGATGGTGGTGCATGTGATCCTTAGACATGAGATCACCAAAGCGCCTTGTGCAGCAATTGGTGTAGTTTGACACTAGCCCAACGTAGTTCTATTCAAAGCTATTTAATATTAATATTTGAGGATATTAATATTGGTGAAGATAATATATATGAAATACGAAACCTAAGATTTACAACAAGGCCTAATCCATATAAGAATGGAATATTTAACCAATATTTTTCGTATTTTATTTTTCCATCTTTAACACAATTTCCATTAAGATGTCATTATATCTATATTTAGCAAAAGTTTTAGAAATTTGAAGTAAATTATCTAACTCTAAATCAGTAGTAGGATAATAAATACCACTTAGTGTATTAGTGAATTCATAAAAAACTTTAAGAAACGAATAAAAAAGTTCACAAACCGTCCAATCATCATGGTTGACAACTTCTTGCGAATGGTTCTTGCAGTTGACGAAATTTGTAATTTGTCTTGCGGTTGGCAAAGCTTTTTCCAACATCAAGTAGGTGGAGTTCGAATGGATAGGCATGTCCATACATAACTTCAAAGGTCGAACTGATGGGTCCTCTTGCTTACAATATTTGACGTACTCCTGCCATCTTTTGTTGCTACCGCCGATGATGAATCTGGTAGTCGTGCGCATTCTCTCAATCTTCAAATTTATATCTTCCAATCTGCTTTAACAATCAAATTGATGATGTGGCAAGCACATCTCCAGTGAAAAAATTTGATGAAGCCGTAAAGGAATTCGATTTTATTAAGAACGAAGATGAGCCCTGTGTTTACAAAAAGGTAAGTAGAAGCGCAGTGGCATTCCTAGTGTTGCATGTTGACGACATACTTCTGATCGAGAATGATATACCAAACTTGCAGTCGTTAAAGACTTGGTTATCCAAGTGCTTCTCCATGAAAGACTTAGGAGAAACAGCCTACATCCTCGGAATAAAGATCTATCGTGATAGATCACGTAGGTTGCTTGGCCTAAGTCAGATTACATACATTGATAAAGTACTAAACAGATTTAGTATGGAAGAATCCAAGAAGGGATTTCTTCCTATGTCGCATGGTGTCTATCTCTCCAAGGATATGTGTCCTAAAACGCATGATGAGAGAGATAAAATGAAGAGGATCCCATATGCGTCAGTAATTGGATCCATCATGTATGTCATGTTGCGTACTCGGATTGATGTCTCATTTGCATTGAGCACTTGTAGTAGATATCAATCGGATCCAAGTGAGTGTCATTGGATAGTTGTCAAGAACATCCTTAAGTACCTGAAGAGGACTAAGGACATGTTCTTGGTTTATGGAGGGGAAGATGAGCTCACTGTAAGAGGATGCAGTGATGCTAGTTTCCAGACAGACAAAGATGATTATCGTTCACAATCCAGGTTTGTATTTTGTCTCAATGGGGATGTTGTGAGCTAGAAAAGCTCCAAGCAAAGCACTATAGTAGACTCTACAATGGAGGCTGAGTATATCACATTATCTGATGCAGCCAAGGAAATGGTCTGGATTAAGAAGTTCATCACTGAACTTGGTTTGTTCTCCACAATTGTTGATCCAATAGATATCTATTGTGACAACAATAGAGCAGTAGCTCAAGCAAAGGAACCACAGTCTCACCAGAAGTCCAAAAACATACTCAGATGGTTTCATCTCAGAAAGATGTACAGATCAGTAAAGTGCATACTGATGACAATCTCGCCGATCCACTGACGAAGCCTCTGTCACAGTAGAAGCATGAAAAACACTTAAGGTCATTCGACATTAAATACATGAATGATTGACTATAGTGCAAGTGGGAGATTGTTAGAGTTGGTGCCCTAGAGCCAATCAATTATTGTAAAATTGACTCTTTGTAATAATGTTTATTAATCAATAAAAGGCAATTTTCTTCTATATCATGTAAATCATAATTGCGTGTATTGATATATGTCCTTAGGATGGTAGAACCATGACGAGGGTATCAAGTGTTTCAAATCTTGATAGTGAGACCCTTATGATCACATATGGTGGCAATTCGAGAAATGTCCATAGCCCTAGTATTATTCTGACCAAGGACACAGATAATACGGTAAGACTATCATAGTGTTGAATGACATAGTCGAAAGACATTGACTGATCTCAATTGTTAAGGTTGTTTGTCGACAACCTGGTGCGACACATGGGTACTTGCTGTAGGTAAGTTCATTGGACTGACCCACCAGAGGATTCCATATAGATGGTAACCCTAGTCTCTATGGAATAAATCCTCTGACGAATGGTTGTGCATGTGATCCTTAGACTTGAGATCACCGGAGTGCCTTATGCACCAATTGATGTAGTTTGACACTAGCCTAACACAGCTCTATTCAAAGCTATTTAATATTAATATTTGAGGATATTAATATTGGTGAAGATAATATATATGAAATACAAAATTCATATTTGAATTTAAATATATATTCAATATTAATATTTGATGATATTAATAAAGATAATATATGAATATGAAAACCATATTTGAATTTGAATAAGATGCCATGTGGATTATTACCTTGGCTGGTAATGAGGATTTACTATTCTAGTCATGGAATAAATTTATTCTTACCTAGATTAACGTTTTAATTTTTGTTGCATATAAAAGCCAACTTACAATTAAAATAAAATTGGAGAACACATTAATTAAATCCAAGCCACTCACCTCACTCTCTCTCACGTTTTTCTCTTGGTGGAGAAGAGAATTTTTCTTGAAGAAAAATTATACTTCGTTTTTGCTTGTGTGTCTTGCTAGCACTTGAGATCTCAAGTTGATCGCCATCCTGTCTTCATGTGGATACCGAGAGTTCACTCTTATCTTAGAGCGGGAGCAATTCGTATCGATTGAAGGAGCCTCCAAATGCTGGTATGAAATCTGGAAATTTTATATTCAATATCATTTCATATGCAAATAGCGTAAATCGAGTATAAGGTTCTTGGGTTTAATGTT